CCCCTTTTATATTTCAGCTAAGAGTACTTGTTTGCAGTATAGAATACTTGCATAATGCAGTAAAAAGCATTTTATAGCAGATTTGTTAATAATTCTGTTCTCGCCCGATTGCACATGAAATAAAGTTTCAAAGTATTTAACTTCAAGTTACGCTCTTACCCCATTTTCGGGGAAAGTGCAGAGTAGTTGATATTTTAAACAATTTTCTATCAAAATCAAAATGTACAAGGAAAATTAAGGTCCTAGTTAATATTAATTAAATAGCAGTAATACTTGCGTTTAAATACCAACTTTACAAAAAACAGTCTGCACTTACCCCGCTTCACCTTATTTCCAAGACTGTAAATTTCAAATTTCTAAACCCACTTCTAGATTCATCAATTCATTTAAATATTTCTCATTTCAATACTATTCATTTTCTAAATCACTTCTCAATGCAAGAATTGAAAATCTATGGAGACCTCACTACATGCATTTTACATGTCCTTGCCCACAAGCTCTTCGGTCACTGAATTAACCACTGATGTACAAATATAAAGTATCTTCCTCTACATATAATGCATTTTATGCCTCTACATACAATACATTATGACTTACTGTCACAACCATATCAGATTCGGGTTGCAAAACATTCTGTTGAATAAAAACAACGGTTGGACACAGAATGAAAACAACGATTACCAATGATCCTCCTTTATTGCATAAATTAAACGATAAATACCATCAACAAAGAAAAGGGAATAAAACGAATTTGCTCGCAGATGCAAAAGTCCCGTTGTTCAAACTGAAAAAGAAAAATTGCGACACGTTTTACAGCAGCCCTTTTAATTGAACTCCCCAATATTATTGATAACAAGTGAATATCGTATGTACATGTATAGCTCTTGTCGACGTGTGTCTAAAGGTGTACTCACACCGGACGAACAAACGCTCCTTCCATTTCGACAAAATTTATCACATCGCTTTCTTTTGCATTTGAATTTTGTCGAGGACGAGGAAGAACGAGTATTTGTTCGTTCGATGTGAACGCACCCTTAGACCGATGATAACGAAACTTGCATATGTGTATCTCTAATCGATTGATCGCATTTTTAATATTTTTTAAACGTTTTTTATTCGCTGGTACCA